TCTAGTTGTTTTAATGTTTTTTCGAAGTAAGTAAATCTTATCTTCCTTCTGTAGGATTGATCTCTCAATTCTCTTAGAGTTTGCATATTATATTATTCATTTCTAAACGAATTGTAATTCTAATTGAAGTTTCTTCTGAACTTTCTTAATCTTCTTAATTCTCTTATCTGCAGCTTCTATATTTGCTTCTAGCAATATCTTATAGTAAGCTGTTGAATTGTATTCATAGAATACAAAGAATAATAACTTCTTTATTATACTTATATCTGTACTATTATAAGCGAATTATGCAAAAAGCAATAGATTAATTCAATTATTCTATTTCTAGTTAATATAGTATTGAAGATATTATTCAATAATTTAATTCATTCTTTTCATCTATTCATCTATTTGTAAATAAAATGCTATAAACATTTTGTAATATATTCTAAGCTGTTTTATAAGCAAAGTTTAAAACTTTAAATTAAACTTTCTATCTTTATTAGAGATTACTTCTTCTAGCATGCTATAATTAGCAATAATCATTCTGAGAAATGCATATACGAGTTCTTCTGCTATATTGCTTTTCTTATAGAAAAGAAAATAAGCATACTTGCTCAGTTTGCAAACTATTACTAGAATGCTATCATATTGTATCTTAATTAAGAGTTCTTATAAGAAAAATAGCTTAATAATGAAGTTTAAACTAATAAATTGCTAAATAATTATAAGTACTAGTAAGAAGTATAATAATTCATAAAGCTTATATCTTTCTGCTTTATTCTTTTTGCAGCTATTGCATTGCTATAAGATATTCTCAATTCTTTTTCTAAAGCTTAATAGATTCCAGTATCTTTTAATACATTTATAGATTGCTTTAACTTCTTAATATTTATATGCTAATATACTATATATATTTCTAATATAGCTATTTTATTTATCTGGAATTATTAATTCTGGATTCTTTTCTGAAGATTCAATTCTAAGAGCAGCATTCAGCTCTCTATATGCATTAATAAGATTTCCTGATTCATCTTAAGCAAAGATGTTCTATATATCCGAAGAATCTGCATCTCGATAATCTGATCTTCTGCTGAAAGCATCTGCTTATTCATTCTTTAAGCTTTTGCAGTATATAATCTTGAAATCGAACTGTAAGAGGAATTCTGCTTATCTAATTTATTACTTATTCAAAATCTTAATTATTATGAATATAATCAGATTCTTATAATCCGAGTAAACTATAATCGAATATTATATGCTAATAAGATAATATTGCTACTTCTTGAAAGCTTTTACTATTGCTATAAGTTTCTAATTAGGGATTTCATAGTTGATTTCCAAGCTATTCAACTTCTTTAAGAAGTTGCTTACAATTCTTAGATACTCTTGATTATTTTGTTAATCAAGCTATTCTCCGAATACATAATCTAATGCATTAGTTTCAATTTCAAAGAGTTTGTAGAGATCTACTTCGTATAGAATTGGTTCTAAGATAATGTGCTTAATGATCTCATCGAAGGCTTCTTATGCCTTGGAATTCTACTTGAAAAGTTAATCTTTTTTGATAAGATTTGTAAGAGAATGTGCGATTTAGCTATAGTTCTTAATAAATTATTTATAGAAATTAATATATTTAAGAAAAAATCTAATATTTCTAATATTTCTAGAAATTAGCTAGTTTCTAATAGCTTCTATCTTATCTTTCTGTAGCTTAATGCATCCTAGCTTGATTGTAAATTCGAGATAATCAACTTTTTATATATAAAAGTAGCTCTTTGCAGATTCTACAAGAAGTTTTGCGCTTTAAAGCATTTGCAATACTGTTTCCACATATTCCTTATATTCTTCAAGTATTCGAGAATAGATAAGAATATTGTTGAGATAGGCAATAATAAACTGATTCAGATGCTTACATAAAATATAATTAATCATTTCCTGGAATGAAGTTGGGATATTCATTAAATCAAAGAGTATAATTAAATACTCGTAGTATTCATAGCATATTCTAAAAGCAGTTTTCCATTCTTCTTCTTTTTTTATTCTAATCAGATTATAAGCTTTTTTCAGATTTAGAACTATAAACTATTATGCTTCTTGCAATCTATTTTGTAATTCCTTAATAAATAATAGCGAATATCAGTTCTTAATTATAATATTATTAAGTTGCTTATAATTAATATATAGCTTAAGCTTGCTGTTTTTCTTAGATATAAACAGAATAGAGTATCCTGCTGATAATTGCAATAATTATATATATTCTTTCTTAAGATTCTCATTGAGATACTTCTGAAATATCTCTAGCTATACCTTATTTAGTTCGTAAATAGGAAAGAATTTAAGCTGTTTCTCTTCTTATAGCAGAATCTTATAATTGTATAAGCTGTATTCTAGCAATTCTATATCCAATTCTTTCTGGAATAGTTTCTTAAACTTATAATATTCTTATAATATATTTGCAAGTATTAATTCTAGTTTTTATACTATTTCTGCTATCTGAAGAAACAGTAGATATTATTAAGCATGCTTCTTTTCTAATAGCATTTTCGAGAGCCTTAAGCATTTGCTCCAAGCTGAACTGAGCGCTTGAGAGCTTGATTTCGAGATTTTTCCTATATGATTCTACAATTCACATTCTAAAGCTTTTCCTTATTGCTCCGGAATGAACCAACTTGCTAAGAGTCTTGCTTCTATTATTTTGCTAATCTATTAGCGCTCTAGCACTATTTGGATTTGCTTATTACTAGATTCTTCTCCTTGAACTGCTAGCTCTGCTAGTTTGAAAGTATATAGGAAATCATATAAAGCTTCTTTTTCTAAGTATTCTTCAACTACTAGCTTCAATTCTGTGCTATTAATTGTAACTATTTCTCTGGGTATAGCTTGTTCCTATAAGATCTGGCTAGTAGTTCAATCAATTCAAGGATTATACTTCTTAAGCTATAAAAGCTCCATAATCAGCTCATGCTATACTATATTCATAATATCAAAAGAAGCTCTAATTATGCATTCTTGAATCAAAATAAATAAATAATCAGTCTTCTTATCAATTACTTCTTAATTGTATGCAACAGATTATTCTTTCATAATGCTGAGAGTATATAAGCATCTCTTCCATCTCTATTATAATTATACTTAATTAATAATATATAAAGATATAAAGTTTCTCTAAGCGCTACTATTTAATAATACGCTATATTTGTATTCTTAAATATATATATTAAACTTAATATAAGCATAATTTGTTCTAGAAGCTTCATATAGAAACCGTTTCAGTCTGATCATCTGCAATCCCTTTATAAGCAATCCTATTCTTTTGAGTTTATTAAGAACTATTTATTCTTTTAAGCTTGCTTTGCTGCTTCTTAAGCAAGCTTCTTAGCTTGCTTTTGCTTGTATTATTATTATTCCTAGTCTTTCTTCTATTAATACTAATTGCAAATCTTATCATTAATATGAATTATGCAGAGTATCATTTTGCACTACTATCATTTTATTTTCTTATTCATATATTGTATAGAGCAGTTATCTAGTAATCCGATATATACATTGTAATATTATCTGTTAAGAATCTTCCTAAAGCAGAGTTTCTGTTCTTTAATAGCTTAAAGAATTTGTTCTGATTCTCTAACAGAGAACCATTTATATTACATTTTGTCTGAGAAATACATTCTGCAGCTATAATAAATACATAAGATTCAAGCTAGTTTGTAATATAGATTGTAAAGTGAACCAATCCAAAGATCTTTATCTTATTGTGCCTCAATATCTTGCAAGGGAATGCAGATGAAGAGCTTCTCTAATCCTATTTTATAAACAAGATATTTAATTTATATTATTTCCTTATTCCATCCAATACTGAAGGAGAACCTTTCTATAAGCTTCTTGAGTTCATTATTCACAGGAGACTCTAGTGAATCATTAAATCATTCATTCTAGCTTAATCTTTCCGTTGCTTAAAAAGCATTCTCAGTATCGTTTAGGTATTTATACTAATAATCAAGAAAGTATTATCCCTTATTCATATCTCTGATTATAATGCTTAGCATAAGCAATAAAGAATGTTGAAGAGTATCATTACTAAGTTCTTCTTTCAACACCTGAATGCTCTATTCCACAATATCAGAGCAGTCCGAATTGCTACTCGTAGGAGTGCTGAGCATATATCCTCGCTCTGCTATTGCTATTTATCTGCAGCGCTAAAGCTTCTGAGAGAACTATTCTAAATCTTCTTTACTCAAGAGGTATATTAAGCAGTTATCATTATAGCAGAATATTCAGCTGAAACTTTTATAATCAATAGAATCCGATACTTGCTCCGAGAAAGTGTTTTTGCTTAGCTGATTGAATTCCTATTATCAAGCGATATTCATCTAGCATTCTTTCTAAACTAGTTGCTATTTGTTCTTCCAAAGCTAATAGCAGTTATATACAATATATTCTTATTTATTACAATTATAGCAAATAATATTATTCTTCTTGCTATACTGCTTATTAGCTGCATTAAGTTTCATAGAACCAGTATACATAATATCACTCTGAACTATACTGCTATATCAATCGCTATTCTTATTTTAGAATTTCTTGCTCATATTAGCTGGAAACTTTCAAATCTAGCTTTCTCTTTTCTTAAACTTCTCCACCCGTTATTCATACAAACAGTTATTAATACAAATAGCTTAATTAGAAAACATTGCAAAGTTCTTTAGCTAATCCTGTTTAAAGATTTCATCTTTAATATCATCCTTAAATTCCTTATAATAATATTCCATGAGATTCTTATCTTCCTACAGAAGTTATACTAAGAATTACTTGAATCTAATTATATAAGCAGAAGCTAATTTGATCTACTTGAGATTCATAAGCTACTAAGCTGTAATACATTCTTTATTAGAATTATTAAAGATTTTCTTAAAAGCTTTCTCAAAGCTTTCAAAAGAATCAAATATATTCTTAATATTCTGGATATGCACATCGGAGTTGTTCTAATGCTCCAAGTGATTGCATAGAGAAAGCTTATATCAGATAAGAGCATTCTTTTCGAAACGAATTTCTGCAAGAATAACTTTCTCAGATTTCTTAATAAACTGAGTCTTGTAATGCAGAAAATATGCTCTGTAGTAGATAAGGAATCCATATAGCATCTTTTGATTACTGTTATATATAGCAAGCTTATTCATCTTGTATGCTTTTCTAGCACTACTAATAGTTGCAGAGATAAACTGCATCTGCTAAGCTTATTAAACTAGCTAAGCTTATTAGTTAGCGATAGTAGCGCTCTAAGCTTGCTGTTATTTGCACAGATCCTGAATACGCTGAATAAGCTGATATACCTAATTAATTAGTTCTTCCTGAATAGAAGCGTATAAGAACGAAGAGATTCCTGGAGAAGCTATTGTATTCCATATTGCTTAAAGAGATAATACTGAACTATTCTTGAACAAGAATTATCAAAATATAATAAGCATTGCAATAATCTGAAGATTCCTAAGTATACAAAGAGGTTTATGCTAATAAGAGCAGTATTGAAATATTAAGATCTTGAATACGGAATTATACAAATCTTAGTAAGCAATGCAAGTATTTACTGCTTTTAGAGCTATTAGAATAGAGAGTAATCTGATACTTAGATTAACAACTGAAGAGCTATATACTGAATTCATCTAATGATAGTAAATGTGTTCTTATATATTCAGCTCTTCAGTATGGATATGTTGGATAGCAATATATCCAAGTTATTCTGCTAGCTCTGGATAGCACATATCCGAAGCTATCCTTCCTGATTAGCTGTGCTCATAATTCTAATCCCGGGTTATGTAATCAATGCTTTGTCAGAACATTGAGTCCTTGACATCTGATCCCTGTTACTCGTGCCCTGTTCTGTAACCTGCATGTTGAATGAGTCATAACATTACAGAATAAGGATATACTCGGTTTTTTATATCTTGCTACTAGAACTAGCAGTAAAAGAAATACTAACAGATAATACTGTGAAAGTTGAAAACAATGAATCAGAATACGAGATAGAAAAGATTCTTAAGCATAGAAGCAATAATAATATGCTCGAATATCTCATCAAATGAAAAGATTACTCAGCAAGTGAAAACTCATGGGAACTGCAGAAGAATGTTGGAAATGCTATGAAAAAATTAATAAAATACTGGAAAACAAAAACTAGCTTTAATCCTACTATCATATTATTAGCAGTTATTTTAGCATTACAACAATAACAAAAATCATTACCTAAGATCTCTCCGCTCCGGAATGAGAATCAGATGCTACAGCTTTACTCTTCAGAAGGAAAGGCTAACCAGATATGTGTCAGGGCTTGTATGCGCACAAAGGAAATAGGTGGCCCTTGCGACCCCTGGTGGCGGTCCAGGGCTGCTGCGAGGGCTTCGCTCCGAAGCAGCGCTCTCGTACGATGCCGCGTGGCCATCAGGCCATTGTCAGCCCATCTAGTCCAGGCCAATTGTGTACATAAGGGAAAGGGGAACAACAGGTCCAGCAGCGAAAAAGAGGAGGAGGGAGATAGGTTCAGTAGTCCCTTTGAATGGAAGCATCAACAGAGCGGCTTGGGAGCAGCTCACACCCCTTCACCTCACTTGTGTGCCCTTTTTACCCTGACAAGTCTGAACCTTCTACCCTTTCCCGGGAAGTGAGCCGTCGGGGGTGAGAATGGCTCCGGTTACACGAAGCGGTAGCGCCGCTCCAGAGCGACAACCACAACGAGCCGGCGACTCCGACCCCTCACAGACCCTAAGCCAACTCCCCTCTCAGACCCTCCCTCCAAGCTCGAACCCAGGCCCAGCCCACGAGAACCCCTCGCTCGAGGCACCAGCAGATATGGCCGGGTTGCAACGCCAGGAACGCGAGCTCGATCGTCAGTTGGAAGAAGAGGAGATACGGCAGCGGCTGAGGAGCAAGCGCGCTCGCTTAACACTACTCCAGAGCGGCGACACCGGCCCGGAGCCCCGGCCAGCTGGCCTCAGCCCTCTCAGCACCCCTCCTGTGCCGACCCCTTCAGAGGCACCCTCGACAGCGCCTGCACAGCTATATCGCGGCTTGCCAGCCCTCATATACAAGGGGGGATCGTACATGGAGTTGAAGACGTTCCTATACGACCTGCGGTACCATTTCGACATCTGCCGCTTGACCAATGAAGCGGATAAGGTGGGATATGCAGTGCGCTGCTTGAAAGACGATCCCAAGCGGGACTGGGTCAACTATGTCGCCCGCCAGGAGGAGGGACAGCGTGAGCCTGTCCCTATCACCTTTGGAGAACTCGAGTCCTTCCTGGAGAACCAGTTGGCCGATCCCACCACCCGCGCTGTCACTGCTGCAGCGACGCTTGCAAGCATCGCTCAAGGCAAGGGCGAATCAGTGATAAGCTTCGTGCGCCGGTACCAGGAGGCGGAGCTTGAGTCTCCCTATCCTGACACCGAGCAACATCGCATAACGGCTGTTCTCACACGCCTCAGACCAGAGATCCGTATCGCCATCAGTGCGCAGACGACGCTCCCGAGCAGCTGGAATGCCCTGATTGGCTTAGCACGACGTATCGAATCCGCTCAAGGGACGGTTACCAACCCTCAACCTGCTGTCAAGACGCTCCTAAGCAGCAGCCCAGGAACTGCTACCCCCTCATATCGTGGCTGTTACAGCTGTGGCAAGCCAGGCCATATAGCAAGGGACTGCACAGCTCCGCGTGGTTCTCAGGCACTTCCCCTCACGGGCACTCAAGCTTCGTCGACGCGCCCTCAGACAGTTGATAACAACTTTGCCCGCTGTTACAACTGTCAGAAGACAGGCCATTTTGCTAACCTATGCCCGGAGCCTCGACGAAACGTCTGTTACACCTGCAATAAGCCAGGCCACTATAGTTCCAGTTGCCCAGAGGCAGAATGTCGGATTTGCAGGAAGAAGGGGCATACAGCAAACAGCTGCGAGCAGGCCAACAAGGTGGCGACAGCCACGCAACAGAGCTGAGGAGACGCCGAGCGGAAGCCTCGCCAGCTCACCGTCCACGCGAGGCTGTCGCTCGGAGACAAAAGGAAGCACACGTATGGGTTGGTCGACTCGGGGGCAGAGGAGAACCTGATCGACCGCCGCTTGGCCGAGGCTCTGGCGCAGAACCAACCTTTTGAAGCATGCCCCAGGCTCGTCTCAATTAACCAGGGAGCTATCATCACATACGGCAGCTGCTCTATCGATGTGAAGGTCACAGATAGCCTAGGAACATCCAGGAAGCAGCGCCATCGCTTCGTGGTAGCAGATATTGGCCAGCCCAGCCTGATCCTGGGGTTCCCGTGGCTTGAGGTCGTCAACCCGGTAATACGATGGGATATGAGGCAATGGAGGTTTCCCCTCCAGCGCTCCCAGATTCGGCTCTGCACTATGGCGAAAGGGCTTGAGGGAGCGAGGGTTGCCTTTGCGGCATATTACTACCCAAGCCCACCAGACCTACCCCTCGAGGCTAAGCCAGAAGACGCAGCGCCAGAGCTGCGCCTGCCCCCTGAGTACCGCGACTTCGTCGACCTATGCATGGAGGAGGCATCAAAGTCGCTCGCACCCCACACTGATATCGACCATCGCATCGAGCTCGAAGAGGGGGCAAGACCGCCCTGGGGGCCCTTGTACGCCCTCTCCGCGGCCGAACTAGAAGTGCTCAGGAAATACTTGGAGGAGATGCTAACCAGGGGATGGATTCGACCCTCGACCAGCCCTGCTGGCGCACCTATACTGTTCGTGCCAAAGAAAGGAGGCGAGCTGCGCCTCTGCGTGGACTACAGGGCGCTGAATCGGATTACACGCAAGGACCGCACCCCGTTGCCTTTGATTGCCGAGATCCTCGATCGACTGAGCCATGCACAAATCTATACCAAGCTCGACCTTAAGGATGCGTACCATCGGCTCCGAATCCGTGAAGGAGACGAGTGGAAGACCGCCTTCCGTACGAAATACGGCCATTTCGAGTACTGTGTTCTGCCCTTTGGCCTCACCAACGCCCCGGCCACGTTCCAGGCATACATCAACAAGGCGCTGGCGGGCCTGGTGGATGTGATCTGCATCGTCTACCTGGATGATATCCTGATCTACAGTGATGATGCCAAGCAGCATACAAGCCACGTTCGAGAGGTCTTGGAGCGGCTACGGCAATGGGGGCTATACCTCAACCTGAGGAAGTGCGAGTTCAACATACGACAGGTGGAATTCCTGGGCTTTGTGGTGTCCCCAGAAGGAATCAGCATGGACAAGGGGCGCGTCGCAGCTATTGCGCAGTGGCCGCTCCCGCGCACCGTCCGCGATATTCAGATATTTCTTGGGTTCACTGGGTTCTACCGTCGATTTATACGGAACTACTCCAAGGTCGCTACACCATTGACCGACCTTTTGCGAGGCGGCGGCACAGGCGTAGTCGCGCTCTCGAACCGCGCCCGAGTAGCTTTCAAGACCCTGATCATGCTCTTTACAACAGCCCCATTGCTACGCCACTACGATGCTGCATTACCAACGAGGGTTGAAACGGATGCTTCTGCTTTCGCTATAGGAGCTGTGCTGGCCCAGCTGTTTCAAGGCCGCTGGCATCCAATTGCCTTTCGTTCAAAGAAGCTCTCTCCAACAGAAACACGGTATGGCGTGGGGGATATCGAGCTGTTAGCTATTGTGGACGCTGTATCAAACTGGCAGCATTATTTGTTGTATCTGCCTGAGCCTGTACTCGTCCTCACGGACCATCTCAACTTGCAGTACTGGGAGACTAAACAGAAGCTATCTGCCCGCCAGTTGCGCTGGCTGGACGATCTCAGCGTGTATAACCTCATCATCCAGTACCGCCCCGGCAAGTCCAACCCGGCTGATGGGTTGTCCAGGCGGCCAGATCACCAGGGGGGAGAGGGAGCTGAGCAGGAGCTGCGAAGCCCCAGCGATTTCGTCACGATGGAGAATCTGGAGGATCAGAGAGGACCTTGTGTTGGTCGTATTCGAAGAGTGAGAGTGGAGCAAGCAGCAGACCTGAGTGTCTCCTGTTTTCGAGTGTGCGCCCTTCGCTATTCGAGCGAGGGCGCGGAGTTTGAGCAGACAGCAGACCTGAGTGTCTCCTGTTTTCGAGAGTGCGCCCTTCGCTATTCGAGCGAGGGCGCAGAGTTGAAGCGGAGTGTCCGCTTGGCAACTGATGTTGCTTGGGTGTCGGGTCGCGAACCGACCACCCTTCCGCGCCTAGCGGTGG